AGGTTATAATTATAGATCAGTTTGTTGCTTTTATTTTTGTGTGAGACGTGGTTGGTGGCGGCATGGTTGTTCTGCATGGTTGGAACATTGCATTTTTTTTATGGATACACAGGAGTAGTCATTATTTATTGGGCCTTACTGATTTTTTTTTCTTTTTACTCTTGGAAAGGTGGGATTTGTTCTATGCTTAGGCTTTATTTAACCAGATTGAAAATAGAAACAACCAGAGAGCCTCACCTTCTAAGTCTTGGGGTGATAGTGAAGGACAGCAGAGGGGACTGAGGGGGGGTTCATGTATGGATTTCTTAGGAGTCACCCATCAAAGACACATCGATTGAAGGCCAGCTATATGTCCGGTACTGCACTAGGTTTTCACTTGCATGATCTCATGTTGTTAGCAGTGAAGTAGAACTTTTACCCGGATTTCTCTGAGAAAATGTAGAGTCGCTAAGTAACTTGATCAAGGTAATTCAGCTAAACAGCAGCAGAAACAAGACAGAGTGTGTTTTGTTGTTAGTTACTGACCAATGAGTCACTCCTGACTCCTAGTCACCCTACGAGCAGCAGACGCCATCCTCACCGCTATTCTGACGTTGGCGCCCCCTGTGGTAGCTTCTGTGTCAATCCATCCTATCAAGAGTCGTCCTCATTGTTGAAAGTACAAGAAGTTAAAATAAGACGGTATGGATCATGATCAACCACGCAATACACTAGGCACAGGGTGAACCTCTTCAGCTGCCAAGTGATAGGCAGACAGTTTGAGCAAATCAGAGGCACCTTAGAAGAAAGGCCTGCTAATCTCTTTTAGAAAAAAACCTGCCACATAAAACCCTGGTGGGCACAGTACCATTCTGACCCACCTGAGGCTCTCACGAGTCTAAATCGTCTTAGCAACCACTGGATTGATACGAAGCACTCCTGGGCTGCTATGAGTCAGAACTGACTCGATAGTAGTAAGTATGTGCTGAACACTCACATATAGTACCATGCTTAATGATTTACAACAGCCTTGTAGAGCAGGGACTCTTAGTGTGATTACTGTTATATGCTGAAGGGCCGACTCACAGTGGCTCCACAGGACACCTTAGCGTGTGTCCGGGTCGTAAATCTTTGTGGAAGCAGATGATCACCTCCATCTCATGGGAGCGACTGGTGGATTCAAGCCACTAATCTTTGGGTGAGCAGGCTGAGTGAGTCTCAGTCAAAGCCATCGAGGAGCTCACGCTAGGTCACTGGGTAGACAAGGAGTGAAGCTGAAATGCAAGCCCAGAGCGTGTTTGCAAAAGGTCCTGTGTGAACTTGGAGGACCCTGTGTTTCGGAAAGCAGAACTGTGATCCACCCCACCCAGCGTGAGCCCATCGCCCACGACTCTCTCATTGGTGGTGCCTTCCACCATCTGCCGCAGTCAGCTTCTGGAGCCGCCCCGTCCTAGCTCCCAGGAGAGTTGGCGGGGAGAGCCTTTGCTTCTCTTTCAGGATGGGGTGAATGTCGTGGCAAGAGTTCTGACCAGAGCTCCAGCCCAGCTCAAGTGCTGAGTAACTCTGGGTGAGCTCTGCCCTGTCTCCAGCCACCATTTCAACGGAAAAGCAAGGGTTAAGGAGAGGTGAACTCCACACTCCCTGCCTTCCTAGCGGGGCATCCTTTGTTTCCACCCTTTATTCTCTGTTCAAGTTGTTGTGGATTTACCTGTGCAGCCAGTGTGACTAAAAATATAGGCAAGTCTCTGGATGTGAGGCAGACCCTTATGGGAAGTGGATATTCAATATTATACTTGGGGAGTGAACCTCCTATACCCAGAGAAGTGTTACCTGGCTGGAAAGATGGATGATCCAATATGAAAAGGTCTAACAGATGGAAGTGAAGAATGTTAGTCTCTGGTATTTGTTGGGATCCAGGTTTCTCCTTATATAGTCCTTTGCTTAGCCTGGAATTGCTGACTGTCAAGAGTCAGGGGCAAAAAGATGGTCAAAACCCAGAAAGATAGGGAGGCAGTGTTGAATGTAGCCACTAGATGGCAATGCCAGACTATAAATGCTTTCCCCATCTTCAGGCTAGCTGACTTTTAAGAGTGTTGCTAAAATCCAGCCACAGTGCATTTTTAATCGCTTGTTCCAAAGTATGTTTCCTTCCAATTGCTGCAGAAGTATTTCAGCTAGGTTTGAAATGTTTGAAACCACACTAGGGCCTTTGGACTCTTAACTATCTTTTAAACTCAACCAAGTAGAGCTAAACAGTCATTAAAGAGGACTCCTACCTACGACTAACCTTCCAATGTAATGTCAAAATGCATCTCGGTTATGTTCTAAAAATGAGCCTTGAGTGTACTCTACATAAAAGCACAACAGTGATATGGAAGGTTTGGTGTTAACTGTAAGATCAGAGGTTCAAACCCACCAGCTGCTCTTTGGGAGAAAGAAGAAGCTGTCTGTTCCTGCAAGATTTACAGCCTTGGAAACCCTTTGCAGGGTTGCTATGAGTTGAAGTCGACTCAATGGCAGTGGGTCTGGAGTTGTATTATAGCAGCTTAAAGAAGCCCAGACGGTGCTCTGGGTTAGTGTTGGGCTAACTGCAAGGATGACTGTTAAAACCCACTCGCTGGTCCAGCAGAGAAGATGAGGCTGTCTGTTCCTATAAAAACTTACAGCCTCATAGACCTTACATAGAGTCACTGAGTCACAACGTTTGATTTGAGTTTGAGAAAGACATAGAAATAGGGAGATGAGTTGTTGACAACAAAAGTGTCCCTGGTTATTCTTTATAAGCTGACTACTTCTTAGGATTTCCTTAATACTGAAATGAAACTCCCCCGTTTCCTCTGAGTGAATCACTTTAATCAGGCTGCATCCTAGGATCCCATCAGGAAATGGACTAGACTGGTGGAATGGACTGTGATTTACTTTGGGCATGTAAGAAGATGACATGGCCCGAGAATAAAATCTTAAGTGGATTTATAGTAAATCCCTAGCTTTCTTTCTCACTAGTTGTACCTTGGCCATGATTTGCCAACAATCTGAGAAATGCTAGACCTCAGACTTATCATTTTCCTGAATTAAGCCCCCAGACAACTTGAATCTTCAATCCAGTCGCTCTCTGAGGCTGCTGCTGACAAGAACAATGGGCACAAACGACACAGCTAAACTGATCACTTCCTCAAACCGGCCATCTCAGCTGATGAAATGGCTTGATGTCACAGATTAAAAAGAATTCTTGACTAAATCAGTGGCTCTCAATTGTCCCCACCCACCATCATTTAGCGATATCTGTTCACATTTTTAGGGTGACTTCTGGGGGTGGGGTGCTCCTGGAATCTACTCAGCCTAAACCCATAGACGTCTTCCTCTCTTTCCTTTTAGAGTTGTCTGGCGGCCAGGGATGCTGTAAGACAGACTGCAGCGTGTAGCACAGCCCCCCCCCCCACCCCCCTGCAGCCCGGGAGTCCTCAAGTCAACCCCATGCACGATGGCCTAGGCACATCAGAGGAGAACGTGCACACAGTTTTCAATGACTGGGTTTTCAGAGGTAGAAAGCCAGGTCTTTCTTCCAAGGCCCCTCTGGGTAGACGGAAACCACCAGAATTTTGGAAAGCAGCTGAATACATGAACCATTTGTACCATCCAGGGACTCCCAATGTAGGGTAAATTGGCCCAAAATGTCCATAGTGCTGAGGCTCAGAAACCCTGGATAAATCGTTCTCCTTCATCCGGGGTGGGGGGTGAAACCTTTAGGCAATGCTAGCAGTTACACAAGTCAGATCAAGGGCAGATGGGGAAGTGTGTCTGAGTCAGACACATTGTTGGGTCTCGCTGTCTCTGTCACAGTCTTTCTTGCCCATCCTCATCCCAAGGTCCTTGCCTTCCCAGCTCCAGCTGTTTGTGAGTTGCCTCAGACCATCCATCTGTCTCCCAGAAAAAAGAATCCCCCAATGCAAATGACTTTGTTCTCTGCTAAGTACACAGCTGTGTAAAGCACCATTTGAATCAGGGTTGGCAATTTATTGATTTATTTTTTTAAAAGGAACCTATCCCCAAACTTCTCTAGTCTTAAATCTTTTCTTGTTCAGAGATGAAGTTGCTTATCTCTTTGCAGATGAACTTGCTGAGAATGTGGAAACGCTCCATCATAGATTCTCTCATCTTCGTTTGTTTGCACTTTCGAATTCCTCTCCATTTCATAAGACATGAGCCCTGGGGGCATGCTGGTCTGCTAACCGCAAGGTCAGCAGTTCTACGCCACCATTCACTCTGTGGAGAAAGAGGAGACTTTCTGCTCCCAAAGAGAGTTTCAGTCTCAAAAACCCAGCGAGACAGTTCGATTCTGTCCTACAGGGTTGCTGGGAGTCAGCAGCCCAACACCTCTACCACCCTGTCACCAGGGCACATTCCATATAGCTGACTGCCCTGGAAATGCTATGGGACAGTTCTACTCTGGCCTGTCGCCCCACTATGAGTCAGAATTGACTTGATGGCTGGTGGTGGGTAGCAGCCTCAGAATTTCTTGAATAACTGTCATCACGCTATTTTCAAGGCCAAATCAAGTACTGATGCATGTTGAAATGGGGGTGGGTGCTGAGAACCGATTTCCAGTTCTTTCATCCCCCGAGAAGCTCTCTTGGCAGTCCTCTCAGGAATCACTGCACTCATGGGAGATTTTATTCAGCTCCTTTAGAAGGCAAAGAAAAGTGCTCTCTTTCTGTGTCCACTGTGAGCAAAATCACTGATTAAACCTTTTACTAAGCAGAAAAGATACTGTGGAATTCCTCATGAAAAATTGCACCAAAGAATGGGCCTAAGCTGGGGAAACTCAAGTCACTCAATAGAGAGATGGAGCTCTGTGCCGCCCCAACGGGGATCTTGTGCCCTGGGGGATGATCCTAGGTGGGGCAAGGCCGGGCCATCATGAAAGCTTGTGAGGCATCCAGTCTCTTCCATTTCTTGGGGCTGCCTGCCTCAGGAAAGAAGGTCCGTCTAGTGATGGTCGCTGGGCTGGTAGCCTCCATGACGGTCCTCGATGATGGGGTCAAAGAGCTCCTTGAAGACTTCATAGGACTCCTCGTCGCCCGCCATGCAGCCCATGGTCAGGATGCTCGGCTGGCCGACGTCGTCCACCGTGAAAGCACTCGGTGTGCACTTGGCACGCAGCTCGGCCGACAGCTTGGGGGTCAGCACCTTGACCAGGTGGTTGTTGTGGTCGCTCAGGGCGGGGAACTCATCCTTGGCCGGGAGTGCAGCTTCAGCACGTCCTGGCAGTTGGAGACGGGCATGGAGGCTGCGGCGGCGGATGGGCAGCCGGGTGGATTTATTTTTGCATAATTTTAAATTCTTAATTCTTCTGATATTTCTACATTGCACTTTGCTTTTCCTATCCGATTAATATGTGTGCGTGTACATCCTGCTTTCAACACGACAGAACATCAAACGTGAATTGTCAGTTTCCGATTCTGACACACTATGCAGACCACGCCTAATCCAATTAGTCTGTATAATAAAGCCGTTAGTTTTAAATTACAACTGAGCTCAATTTTAAGGGAGGAAAAATAAATCTCTCTTTTTAATTTTCTAGTGCCTATATTTTATCTAGCTTTGTACATTGTACTTATGGCCTGTCTATAAAAATAAACCTAAATGTAAATTATGATTTCCATCTTCATGGGCAAGCTGTTCTATCTTATTTGTTAGAAAGCAAATAGGACCCACTTTACAGCCTGTTTACTAAACTGGCAACTTCAAACTGGGGTTTGAAACACGTCAACTATATTGATGCTCGAACTACAGGAATTGCTAAACAGAACCATACATTCAGGATAATATGAGCATCTCTAAAACAAACCATCATTTGATGCTCTTCTTTTGAACTAGATGCTAGAATGGAATTAGAAAAGTGATAGACTCTGTATGCTCCTTGTCCTAAGCTGTTGTTGCAGCCACCTCTAAGACTTGGGAGTCTTTGTGAGCATTTGGTCATGTAGTCTTGATCATCTGAGATACTCAAACATGCATTATCCCCACCCACCCTCCTTCCTTCCCTTGCTCTCTCCCTTCCTCGTGTAGAGGGTGTCACCGTCAGTGCTTTAAAATAAAAAAAGGACCAAAAAGTCATTATTTGAGCTCTCAAATATATTCAGACTCAAACTGTCATATGAAATGCTAATTGAGCGTTTCCAAGGGTGGCAACATATTCGTAAGTCAGTTGATCTATCCTTTGCCCTAAGGATGTTTTTCAGGTATTTTTTTTCATGATAACGAGGCTTACGTATTTAGATATTCTCTAAAAAATCGCTGCTGTTGAGTCCATTTTGACTCATAGCAACCCGGCAGGACCGTGTAGAACAGCCCCCCTGGGCTGGAATCTTTGCAGATGCGACTGCTACATCTTTCTCTCTCAGAGCACCTCCTGGGTATAAACTGCTGACCTTGTGTTAGCAGCTGCACACCTAGCCCACCAGGGTAAGGCAGGTGAAATGAACATTCCTTCTGCTCTGTTCCACTTCACACATTAGGAAGACAGAAATAAGGAATGTAGCTCCCACTGGCACATCCAGATTGGCAAAAACAGCCAGCAATGTTCAGAGAAGTGAAACACACGCTACTAGATGGCAGGGATACAGCTGTGATCACTGTCTCTGTTGCAATCACTCGCTGGGGCCATGACACAGGTCAGGCAGGATGCACATGAGAGGCAATCCCCTTGACATAAGAGGGCAAGTCAAAAAGTATTGTTCTGGGTTCCAGCACCTATACACCCGGGTTCATGCTAAACCAGAGTGTTTTAAACATCTCTCCGAACAATTTGTGGCTACAGACAAGTTCTCTTAGTGATACACTGGTTTTAGTCTAATTAGGGTGCCTTAAAAAAAATAAAGGTCAATCAAACAGTGGCTTCTGATGGGATCTGCTGGACTGGTTAAATTGTGATGTTGAAACAGTTTATAAGGACAGCACCACGTGAAAAACTCGAGTGTAAGAATGATTTTCTCATTTCAAAAAGATGAAATATCATTTGATGACAAATCTCATTGTCATCAAATGACATTTCATCTTTTTGGGAGTCTTTGTGAGCAACTGAATGTCCGTCAACTGAATGGACAAAAATGTCGACTTGCAATGCATTTAGAATTCATTACACCAGATCAGACTGTTAATTAAGCTTTCTAGTTAGAAGTTCTGAAAAGATTGCGTATCAGTGTGCGACATAAAAGGCCTGATTTGTGGCAGATGGGGGACAGGTTTTGCCACAACAATAGGCACCTGCTCACACAGCCATCTCAGTGTGCCAGTTTCGGGCAAAAAGCAGCATGCCTCTCTTGCCCCATGTACCTTACTCACCTGACCTCACTTGGTGCGACGTCTTTTTGTTTCCTCAAATGAAGAGGGCCATGAAAGGACAGTGATTTGATGATGTAGAAGAGGTGAAGCAAAAAACAAGGGAGGCACTGTCAGCCATCCTAACAGATGAATTTAAAAAATGTTTCCAAGAATGGAATCATAAATTTGACAAATGTGTTAAGTATAATGGAGAGTACTTTGAAGGTGATAAGGTTGGGTTGTAAAAAATTGAAATATACAACTTTGAAAAAAATTCCGTTGTTTTTTTGGGGGGTACCCCCTTGTAGAACTGAATAGAGGATATGTTGAGAAACAATTCCTTCAAATTTTGATGAAAGTTTTTGAAAGTTTAATGAAAGTTACTATGATTTTGTAGCAATATATTTTTTATTTGCCTTCATATTAGCCCACATGAAATTCTTCAGTTTCAAAAAGCATATAAAAGTAGAAGAAAAGCAGAGCATTGTTCAACCAAGGGCAACTCGGGCTCTTCCATGTTTTAATTTATATTATTTGGGGCCAAATACCTTGTTGCTAGTTGCTCCTGTTGAGTTGGCTTTAATCACAGTGACAGCATGTGTCAGTCATAGTAGGACATGTCGCTTGGTTTGGGGCTGCCTTCATGAGCCTTCTAGCACTGAATCAGACAATATTCTCTTGTGATCCACACGGTGTTCATTGGCTAATTTTCAGAAGTAGATCACCAAGCCTTTCTTCGTACTCTGCCTGAGTCTGGAAGGTCCTCTGAAACCTGCCTACCACGGGTGACCCTGGTGATATAGGTTCCAGCACCATAGCAACACGGAAGCCACCACAATACAACAAACTGGCAGACATGTTCTGGGTGCAATTTTAGAAGCATAGTTCACACTGATGGTGGCTTATCTGGTGTGGTGTCAAATGAATAACCTTCACGTCCCTAACTCATGAAATGACACCCAAACCATGTGGTGGCCCAAATACCAAGCTATCGTTGATTTGTCTCTAATTTCCTTCACACCCAGCCCCTACCACACATGTATTTAATACCACCTTAAGCTAGTTTGGATCAGTCGGTAAAACATATATATATTTCTCATTGTGATTTCATGTTCATCGCCTGCTTGCATAAATGTATCCCCTACCACCTTCCTGCTTCTATGCTCTTTAAAAAAGAACATATGCATTCTTTAAAAAAATTGTTCCTTATGATTTTTTAGGTAGGCAACAGCTTTGCTGAGGTCTAATGATTCATTTGTTTCAAGTGTATAATCCAAAGATTTTCAGTAACCTTAAAGTATCACATAGCCATGATCACAGTCTAAGTTTACAACCAACTGACCATCTCACGAAAATCCCTGGTGCCTGACTGCAGTACATCCTCATTTTTAGTCATAGACAAATACTAGTTGACTTTCCATAGATTTGTAGATTTTTGGCATTTTATATAGAAAGAATCAGATAATCTGTGATCTTCTGTATCTAGGTACCCCCCCCACCCCCATCCTGTCCACACTCAACATGTTTTTGAGGTTCATCATTGTAGCATGCACCACCATTGCTGCATAGTGTACCCCTCTATGCCATTTTGGAAGCATAATAATTAAACAATACGTGTGATTGATTTTGATCTAGAAGTCCACAAGTCTATTTAATATTCTCAATGCAGCTGTGGTTCAGTGATAGAACTCATGTCACAGAGTCACCACCCCTCTGTCAGTGGAGGGTGGTGGTCCTGAGATGCTGAAGAGGCTTCAGTGGAGCTTCCAGACTAAGACTAACTGGGAAGAAAGGCCTGGGGCTTTATTTCGGAAAACTCCATGTGTCTGTTTTGCAATGATCCATGGTGATGGGCAGGACCAGGAAGCATCTTTAGGATCTCCTGAGTGGGGGTCCACCTTGATGGCCGTTGATGAGAACTTAATATTCTGCATGCAACCTTATGTCCTTGCAATCCCTTCCCCATGAAGAGACAACTGGCATCACAGTGACATTTTATTGACGACCATATGATGGCTTCTTGTTACAATTAAAACTAATACCAAAGTCCTCCCATGGCCATTGACTCCTGCCTACTTTCTGTGAGCTCCTCTCTCACTGCGTTTCTTCTTGCTCACATACTCCAGATAGAACACTCTTCCTGATAGCCTTTGAACATGATGAGTGTATTCCCACCTCCAGAACTCTAAACTTATCCTTTCCTTTTCCACCTGACCATCAGGTGACTGGATCCCTGATGCCTAAGCCCAACTTCAAAGGCACCACCTCAGGGGACTTCCTGACCGGCCAATGGAGAGGGTTTTTTCTTTGCCCAGAGCACCATAGGGTGATGTACTCTTTGCAAGGTATTCACTTTGATGCTAACTTACCATATTTGTTTGCATGTTTAATGCATGCCCTCCCTCTGGAACATAGGGTCCTTAGGCAGGGACTGTGTTTGTCTTGTTCTATACTGTATCCCTAGTGCTTAGACTACACTGACTCATGGCAACCCATGAGTGTTATTAGAGTAGAATTGTGCTCTGTAGGTTTTTCAATGGGTGATATTTTGGATGTAGATGGCCAGGCCTTTCATGTGCTAGTGCCTACAGCAGCGTATAATACATATTTTTAAGTAAATAGTTATTGATGGAATGAATAAAGGGACAGGTGAGTAGTTGGGGCACAAAGTGGATCTGTAGACAGGAGACACACATGCCAGAGATACACACCAAACCACCCTTCTTACTTTGGATGAGTTGACAATATTTTTAGGTCTGTATTTTTCCATTTTCTTTTTAAGACAAGCCTTTTTGGGAGAACATTTCGCCAATTGTTCCTTGATTAGCTTCAACCTCAAGTAGAGAAAGTATGTTCTTCCTCTCAGCACTTTGGATCTGCACAATCAGTATGAATAATACATGTACTGCAAGTTTGTGGGAGTCACGGCACATTTTAACTAGGTAAAACTAAACCAAACTCACTGCCATCCAGTCGAGGCAGATTCATAGCGACCCTCTAGGAAAGAGTAAAACTGTCCTGATGGGTTTCCGAGACAGTAACTTATTCAGTAGAAAG